TTCGACCAGTGCGTTCTCCCACTTTTGACATACGGCGCCGAGTTAAAAGTTAGACCAGTTTAAAGTCACACAGAGAGCGATGGAAAGGGCTATGCTCGGAGTATCCCTGAAGGACCGCATCAGAAATGATGTTATCCGACAGAGAACCAGAGTCACCGACATAACCCACCGAATTAGCAAACTGAAGTGGCAGTGGGCTGATCACATTAGCCGCAGAACTGACCGCAACTCGGTAAACGTAATGTAGGACGCCCTGAGACAAGATAGGATGATGACATTCTTAGGCTGGCTGGAGTGGGCTGGATGAGAGTGGAAGAAAATCGAGAGCAGAGGCGTGCATTAGGGGAGACCTATGTCCAGCAGTAGACGAGCATGGGTTGATGATGGTTTATATCAATGACCTTCCTCACTTTACAAGAGATTTGTGTGAGACAGTAATATTTGCGGATGACATCTCTATAGTGTTTAAAGCTAGAAGAGGAAATGATTGTTATGGCGAAGTAAATTGTGCTGTCTCTGAAGTCCTTCATTGGTGAACGGTAAATAATTATTTTAAAACTAAACTTTAGTAAAACAAAATGTGTTAAGTTTACTCCACCTAATATGAGGTATTACTAGTATAAATATAAAAGTTCAGTCTGTAGAGTTAGTGGATTCTACAAAGTTTCTGGGTATTAATGTAGACTCGCACCTGCAATGAGATCCTCATGTTGATGCCTTATCAAGTACACTAAGCTCTGCGGCTTTCGCTGTAAGCGGCGAGCGAAGACATACGTGTCGCACGCTGGCATAGAGCTTGCGGTTTACGCAGATCATAACACCTCCGCCAGTGTTTTTATCAGTTAGCGATAAATATCTATCGCGACGGAATACCTCGTACCTATTGTCACACAACTCCGAATTTAAAATGTCACCTGTAACCAGGTTTCTGTAAAAATTAAGAATCATAACCGAATAATAGTAAATTATTGTAGAAATCGAGATATTAAGTGCGAAGCCTGATTCTGACACGGGTGTTTTGATAGTAAAGGAGATTGCTCAAATTGGCCCAAATGTACAAAAAATATTGACATATACAGTAATTCTTGGTGTAATTTATACTTTATTTTACAGTTATTAGATTTTAACGGACACCTTTGTATAATATATTCATTTTAAAAAGTACTTTTTATTTTACCGGTTTGGAAAACATACGAATCATTTTTAATGACTATGGGTGTAGTAACATTCATCCATAGACTGATCGAAGTTATTTATATAACATCAAAACAAATCTATTTTGTAAAAAGCGATAAAATAAAAATATAAAATATTACACTGTGGTATTAATATCCACAAGTATATTATCATTTTTACTACATGCAAATGTGCTAAGACAAATATTATAGATGGTAGGCGACATCATAAAGTCTATTGCCATACATTTTTCGTCAAACACCTCCATAAATACATTATAAGGTGTGATACACTAAAAATCTAAAATATGGTTATAATAATATAAACTTAACAAAAATAATAAGCTTTCTTTAGTGAACAAGAGTTTGAAAATTCTCTCTAATCTGTGGCTCATTCACAAATAACACACAGTTTATGTCACAGAGTACCTTATTATAACCGGAAATGCATAGATGATACCTGATTTTAAAAGTTACTCTTATGCATTAACTTTAAAAACAGGCAACTATCTATTAATCTACATGCTTTATATACCTGAATCTAATACATAATTTCAGTACTTGGTATGATTTCCCTAGTTTGCTATATAACTTATTTGTTTTTTATTATTTTAATACCTATGTACCTATTTGCAAACATAACCTCAAAATGATTCAGTGTATATGGTTTATAGAAGTTCTCAGGCGTGTCCGTCAATAATATTCGTTTCTACAGTAATTTATATATAATTTCGAATCTAGGAAACAATTTTTCATGATTTTTGGTCTTTAGCCCAAACATGTATGGAAGCTGAGCAATCCCCTTTCAAGTTTTGTCTAATGTTAGCTATTGGTATCATCAAGTTGAAACTTTAGATTCTGGCGTTTAACAAAGAAGAACCAACCTTTAACAAGCTATTACTCCGTTAGTATTCAACATAGGGATAAGTTAAACCCAGTATTTTGTTTTTATTTTTATAAGCTTATTCTCCTAATGTTTTTTTTAGAAATACTTATTCACAAGCTTATTCATGGAAACCCGCCTATAAACGTGGTTTGACTTGTTGAAAATGGACTTTTCCACTCTCGAATAAGTTCAAAACTTGAACTGAACTAACTTTCAGAAAAAAAATATAGAACAAAAATTGCTTAGAATTATTAGTCTATTTCCATTCTTATTTTTAATAAAATATTTAATCCCCGAAAAGGGTTAGTGTCAACCCCTAGGGTAAAAGAAACACAGAGAACAACTTTGAAGTAGAAGAGTAGAAGCTTCAGCCAAATTTTGGTGCTGTTTGGTAGAATTGCTAGGGAACCGTGCGGTGACTGGTGACCTACTTATAAAGAGTCATGTCTTTCTTAGTTTTGACATCCTCCTCGTCACTCGCAATCTAATTAATTTCAGTTTAGATAAAAATAAACGATCGATTTTATATTCCAAACCCGAAATGCGATAATATTTCTTTGTAGTAACGACTTCTAAAAAGTCTTTTCCAAGGCTCCGTGGTTTGCTTATGTAATATTTCCGATATTTTCTTTTCTTTTCAATTTATACACACATAAACGCTTTTACTTACATGTCGTCCAAAATGAATAGGTACTACTTTTGTGGCTTACAATAAAATACGCTACTACATATAAAAAATTGTGTTTTAAAAAATCTAAGAAGTATAAATAATTAGTTATGGCGAAACCAATTTTATTTGTCTAAAAACCTAAAATTCTTTTTGATACAGAATCTTCATAATATAAGTTTTTATCTCCTGTAGTAAAGTGAAATTCAAAATTGTAACACCCATTAATAAATGTTCCTGAGTATATCGTAATCGTAATTTTTTTTACGTGACACGATAATAATCACGGTGCAACTAAATAAAATCTAGGGCATAGTGTAATGGGCATTTACCTCTTCTTTTGACATTTGAAAGCTTTTAAAAAAGTTATATTTCAAGGGTGGGTAGTTGTAAAAGAAAGTCGATTTTAAGTGTCTCTTAATTTTAATTATTTAATTAATTACAATTATTAAATCAAGAATTGAAATTCTTATGTCAAATTAATAAATAGTGCACAGTACCTGCCGGCGAGTGTTATCTTCATTATTTATTATCACCAACACTTGTTTTCGTCATCAACATAATGGACAGCATACAGGAAACTCTTTCTCAACTGCAGAATGTTTTTGTAAAGCGGATGGATGCCTATCAAAGTGAGCTGCAAGCTGCTACTCCATCTCCCAATGTCTCCAATCTGACAGCAGACTTCGCAACATTTAGGAGTTTTATTCTTTCCTCCGTTCAAAGTCTGCAGGAACAAATCAACTTACTGGCTCATCAAGTTGACAGCTTAGAAATGAATAGCCGGCGGAAAATCCTCCTCCTACACGGTCTACCAGAGCTATCAGAGGAGGATGTTACAGCAGCTGTTGTACAGGCTATCAGAGCTAAGATGGGGCTGTCAGCCTTCTCTTCTGGCGACATCAGTCGTTGTCATCGGATGGGTCGCTCTTCTACAAATCATCGTCCACGGCCAATTGTAGTAAAGCTGAGAGAATTAGCTGTCAGAAACAAAATGTGGTTCAGCAAAACCACTTTGAAGGGCACTGGTCTAACACTGACAGAGTTCCTTACGAAGAACAGGCATGATGCGTTCATGGCTGCACGAGAGCGGTTTGGCATTAACAAGTGCTACACGCGTATGGGCTTCGTGTTTGTTATTGGAGGTGATGGCAAGCGACACCGCATCAGCAACCTTGCCGAGCTGCAAAAGATCCCAGTTCCAATATTGGTGAGAACAGAGTCACCCGTGCCGAACAAAACCCCAGCACCAGTAGTGGCAAGAGTCGAGTCGCCTAAACCTGCAGCTTCAACATCTTCTAATAACACCAAGACGAGACGTGCAGCCAATGCAGCAAGCAAGAAGTAACATAAGGTTTTCAATAGCTAATAACTTCATTGTCACTGTTTGTTTGTTTGTTGTTTTTCAAGTCTGTTACAATTTGTGGTAATTTTACAAGTTCGTTACTTCTATGGCTATGATATCATACCATCTTGTTGCATCGGTAAATAGCCATTTCTTATGCAAACTTATATAATACTTATTGCTTTCACAAACGAGGGTGTAATTTTAAAAGATAAACTTAAATCTAAATCTAGTAATTGACATTATGACAGTGACACTTAATTTTTTTTTTCTTTTTGTTCTTTATCAACGTAAAGCATAAGTTTTTGCTTACATACAGCCTTTTTAGTTTTTTTTTTTTTCCATTTTGATTTTATTATTTCTTTGGTTTTTATTAGCAGACAATGTTAAATATCAAATGCTGTTGTAATCTTCTAGCTTTGTTGCCTGTTTTGATTCTGTGTTGTAATGGATGTTGAAATCAGTGTTCTTTTTATAATTTTATTCCACTCAACCGGCAGGTGGAGCCTAGGTAGTTTAAATTTTGTCTGATAGTTTATGAAATTTATTTAAATATTTATATTTTGGGTATATATATATATATATATAATTTGTTGGATTTATATTATATATTTATAATTAATAGTATATAAGTCTGAATTTTATGTCCGGTTCAGAAATAGATAGTAACGATGATTTTTTCCAATCTTTATCACCTGCTAGCGGCAGCACTGACAGTAGTTTTATAAGTATACCTTCTCTTTCTGAATACCTAGATAACCAGTTTTCTGATGTACCTAAAAATTTTAACGTGGTTCATATCAACGCGCAAAGTATTCCGGCTCACTACACCGATATGTTGGCGTCTCTTGACAATAAAAATCTTCATGCTGTTTTAGTCTCCGAGTCCTGGCTTAACCCATTTACGGCCAAATGAAAATGAGCAATTGTAAAAAAGGAAAGCCTTTATTTACTTAATATTAGGAATACAAACAAACATATAAAGAAAAAAATAATAATTTAAATGACATTTTTCAGGAATTACAGGCGTGTGCCCAAATTGGCACAGTGGCCACTTATGAACGAAAGTTGGTAAAATAAGTTTTTCTATGCAGAGTGTTTTCTTGTACTTTTTAGAATTAGAATTTGAATTTATTTATTTGCATAAGAATAGAGGTACACTGGAGATGTCACAAATTTACAACCCCAGCGGCTTCTATTATGGTAGATAACACAGCGCATCCGTTTTGAAAGCTTTTCAAGAAGGTGTTCGGCATCATCTTGTAGTTGTAAACCTTCGATGTTTGATGAAGAAGGGCGAGCAGTTACACTTTGTGCAGCTTGTTTTAGGTAAAACCTTACAATTTCATTTTGTCGAAATAGCAACTGGTCCATGGCGTCATTTTCACTTGAAAGAACATGCAAGCTAAATTTTGAAATAAGCATGTCATTTTGTAATGAGCATGAAAGCTTTTGAACTTTGAACATTTTATCAGTGGTGTTCGGAGCGTCATTATTGTCCACCAGGTAGGTCAGTATTGTCTTTTTATTCTTAGAATCTGTTTCGAGACAAAGCCTTGGTACTACCTCAACTCCAATATCTTCATCAAGTGACCAAAACAAACTTTTTCGCGGCAGTTTGTGGTAACCAGAAAATATCAATATTTCAAAAACCTTTTCATCTCAGCAGCAGTGATGGAAAAGCTGTGACTGTTGTTTTGGCACGCTTACAGCTCAATGATGGTGGACTTCCCCAATCATACTAAACACCACATCGTCAAAAAACTTTTAAAATATTTTGACGGTTGTCAATGCTTCTCTCATACGATTATCGTTACCCAAACGGTCGTCGGATGCTGCGTAACTCTTAGAATAATTTGGGGTACATCAGTGGGTAACAACACTTGGTTCTAGTGGAATTATGGCCAAGTCATACTCCAAACCATCGTCACTATCCTCGAGTATAGTATTTAGGGCCTCTTCCAAACCACGGTATTGGTTACTAGCGCTATAACATCGTTTGCGGTTCATCTTGATAATCTGCGAAAAGTAATATACTTGTAGCCGTTGTTCCCAATTTGGTACACCAATATTTTACATGTAATAATGACTTATGTATTTAGTTTTCGGAACTGGAAATCGGTTTATATGCTTGGTTATTTATTGTTTATAGGGATATGTAACTATTTGTATGGAAATCTGTATTGCATATAATAATAAAAATTACAAGCAGGTACTTACCTCCAGGAGGCCCTTGTTATCGATTTTTTATTGAATTTTATCCAAAAACAATACACTTTTATGACATAGATGAATATTACATTTATTCAGGATACTTTTGACTATTCATTAATATAAAAACACATTGACCAAATTTAATATACATTTTACCTACCCTCATTAATTAAGTGTACCGAAATTAGCACAGTGGTCAAGAATGGGTTAAACCTTCTTTACCTTCCACTGCATATACCTTACCTGGTTTCCAGTTAATACGTAATGACCGTACTGGTTCGCGAGGTGGTGGAGTTGCTATTTACCTGCGTACTGGTATTCCCTTTAATGTCATTAGCTCCTCCCCACAGCCTCCACCAACTAATGCTGGTGAACATTTGTTCGTTGAGGTACTCCTTTCCCACACCAAAATCCTCCTCGGAGTCTATTACAGCCCTTCCTTAAATGTAAATTTTTTCAGTTCTTTTGAACAGCTTTTAGAAAATATAGTCCCTTCTTATGACCATTCCCTGATCATGGGTGACTTCAACACATGTCTCTTGAAAGGTGATTTTCGTGCCACCTCTCTTCAATCCGTTGTCAGTTCATGTAATTTACACATCCTTCCACTTAGCGCTACCCATCATTTCCCCAATACTACTCCCTCACTTCTCGACTTATTAATAGTGTCTTCTCCTCAACGTGCTACGAAACACGGTCAATGTGCGGCAGATGCATTCTCATACCATGACTTGATTTTCTTATCGTACAAGATTCGTCCTCCTAAGCCCAAGCCGAAAGTCATTCTTCAGCGGAATTTTGGTGGTATGGATCAGGAGGCGTTACTCAAAGACCTGCATGATGTCGACTGGTCGTTAGTGACTAGCGCGGCTACATTGGACGAACAAGTGCATACTTTCAACAATATTATAACCAAGCTTTATGATAAACATGCACCGCTTCGTCCTATTAAGCTTAAGCACCATCCAGCACCTTGGCTTACACCAGAGATAAAAGTATTGATGCACAAGAAGAATGTGGCCAAGAGTAAATATAAAATTCGTCCGACAGACTCTAATAAAAACAACTATGCAAAGGCTCGCAATCACTGTAACATGGTGTGTAGGGATGCTTTACGTCGCCATATTCATGCATCTGTCAGCAATAATGATCCTGCTAAAGTGTGGAACTTCCTTAGATCACTTGGAATTGGTAAACCTCGTCAAACGTCTTTTCCTAGTAACATCGATATCAATTCACTTAATGTTCATTTCTCTGTATCTTCTAGTTTCAGTAATTTGCACAAAGCTAGTACTATAAATGTTCTTTCATCTTTACCAGTTCCAGACTACTCTCCTTTTGTCTTTACTCAATTTTCCGAATGTGACGTTAAGAAGAGCATGCTGTCCATTTCTTCCAATGCGGTAGGTAATGATAGTATTAGTCGTAATATGCTGATACCTATCTTAGATATGATCCTTCCTATCCTTACCTTTCTTTTTAATAGCTCTATAACAAATGCTGTTTTTCCATCGGCTTGGAAAGAAGCCCAAATCGTTCCTTTGCCCAAAAAATGTAATCCTCAATTTCTTGCTGATTTTCGGCCTATTTCTATCCTTCCTTTCTTATCTAAAGTCCTTGAACGTCTTGTCCTTAACCAATTCAATACATTCCTGTCTCGTCATAATCTTTTTAATCCTCTTCAATCCGGTTTCCGTCCTGGGCATAGTACTACGACTACCCTCCTGAAAATTACAGACGACATACGCCTTGGGATGGATCAGGGTCATCTCACAGTATTGACATTACTAGATTTCAGCAATGCCTTTAATACGGTCAATTTTGACATTCTTTTGGCTTTGCTGCGCTCTCTTAACGTATCTCCATCGGCAATTGAGTGGTTTCGCAGTTATCTGCAGGGACGCAGGCAGAGGGTTCGCGTCGATGAGGTTTTTTCCTCGTGGATCGACACTTCTGCTGGTGTTCCCCAAGGCGGCGTTTTATCTCCTCTTCTCTTCGCTATATTTATTAATTCTATTTCCAATAATATTTCTTCTTCCTACCACCTGTATGCAGATGATCTTCAAATTTATAGACAAGCCTCTCTTGGTCAATTATCCGAAGCAATACTGGCAACAAATAATGATCTGCGACACATTGTAGAGTGGAGCGAATCTTTCGGACTAGAAGTAAATCCCTCCAAAACACAGTGCATTATCATTGGTAGCTCAAGGTTGATTGCCAGAGTGAACTGGCAGTTACTTCCTACCATATCCCTTGCTGGCACCAATATTCCATTCAGTGTTTCTGTAAAAAACTTAGGATTAACTGTCGATAACTGTTTGAGTTGGGGTCCACAGTTACAAACTGTTAGCCAAAAACTGTTCGCTTCGGCAGCCTCGCTGAAGAGACTTCGCAATTTCCTTCCTACTGCCACCAAAATTTCCCTAGCACAGTCTGTGCTGCTTCCTATTCTTGATTACGCTGACGCCTGCTATCTTGATCTCACGGAAGACCAGCTTAATAAGCTTGAGCGACTTCAAAATTTCTGTATTCGTTTCATATTTTGCTTACGCAAATATGATCATGTGTCGCAATTTCGATCACAGCTCAAGTGGCTACCAATTCGACTTCGCCGGAATACTCATATCCTCACACTTCTCTACAATATATTGTTCAATCCTTTGTCCCCGCGCTATCTCAAGGAATGCTTCAATTACCTTCATACCTCAAACGCGTTGTCTCTTAGGTCATCAGAGAATTTAACCCTAAAAATTCCTACTCATGACACAACCTTCTATGGTCGTTCTTTTGCCGTCCAAGCTGTTCTCCTGTGGAATTCTCTTCCAGTATCCATAAGACGAGCACAATCTATTCATACTTTCAAAAAACTTGTTTTCAACCATTATTTGTCGACGTAACTGCAATTGCTTTTTTTTTTTTTTTTTCTGACTGGATTAAACTTTTATATGTGTAGTCTATGTATGTATATGTCATATATTTATATTACATATATATATCTTATAGTAATATTATGTGTATGTATGGTATGTATATATATTTAATGTATATAGTTATATACATTTTTATATCCTTTGTTTCTTTTATAACACCACCGACTCCAATTTCATTCAATCCTCTCCATCCAAAGGTTGTCTGGAAGAAATCGCTTTTAGCGATAAGACCGCCCATTGAATCACTGTTTAAACATGATGTATTTAACCCATTTATGTACTGTACTGTGGTGTTTCAATAAAGAATTTTGTATTGTATTGTATTGTATTGTATTGTATTGTATACCAATAACCAAGGTTATAAAAGGCGCTCGATGATGGCAGCTGACCTGATAACTAACTACTTAATTTGTTTTACTTTGTTCTACCGATACGCTGTTTACATCAATGTATTGCCAAAAATCAAACAAACCGATAGACAAACAAACTAAATAAAAAGTAGTAAGTTCTGTCTCTGTTCATTTTTCTGTGTTCGCTTTTCAAACTACCCTCATAAAACAAAGATATATCATGTTGAAATTTTAAATAGGACTTCAACGCACGCCAATACTTTTGGTCGTAGAGACATGGTATTTAGTAAATAGGTTGTTTAAATGACGTAGGTACCAAGAGAGAAAGGATTTTTGAATATTCCACCGTGAATTGGGTGATATAGGGGTTCAAAGTTTGTATGGGAGAACGAGTTTGGCCACCTTGATAGCTTTGAAACTTAGCTAGATAAACAAAACCTGAATATTAAAAAAATAATCTCTGCTAATCTGTCATTATGAAGCTTCTATAGAGGTTCGAGAATAAACTCGGCCATTCTGATTATTAAAAGTTTGCTCAATAATAAATCTCGTCTGTAAATACATTTGTTCTATGACCTCCTTGACCTCCCTTTGTGTACCACATTTGATATAACCATCCTATACATTTTTTAATTATCAGTTAGTGCATCTCTTATAGTCTGGGAGTCCTAAGTCGATTTTAAGTTCTAGGTGCTATAATAATTTCCTGAGATAATAACTTTTGCTTTCGGACAGGATTTTTAAATTGTTTCCTTCACTGCTTTGATCCCTTTATCATACGAATACTACGCGGATGGCCAAATCTTTTTATGTCACAAACAGAGGAGGTTTCATTGTACCTATTAATGGCCTGGTACATACCGTGTTTTTTTTAAATAAATATTTCTTACTTATCTACTTACTTACACAAACATTCGATTACTACCAAGCGAATGAAGAGTTTCAAAAAATTGCATAGGTATGTCTCCATACCTACTTTGTGTAATGCTATCAAAACAATTTGGTTCACTTTATATCCTCACTGCATTTTTATATCACGAAAATATTTAAAACCGATTTGTGTGAAAGAAAGGAAACACAATGAATTATAAGAAGAACTATGTTTTTAAGATTACGTACCTCTAAAGGAAAAGACAGAACCCTTATTAGGTTCACTTTGTTGTCCGTCTGTCTGTCTACATGTCAAGACCCTTTATCTCAGAAACGAGTTGAGGTATCGCGTTAGAATTTTTACGATACACTGAAGTCTGTGGTCCCTTTAAGCTATGAAAAAATCAAACTA